TTATCTGGGTCTGAATTCAAAGTTCCAAGATAAGTAGACCACCCCTCCCTGGTTAGGAACATAAACAAACGCCGACAACTAACTAACAACCTCATAACACCATCGACAAAACATTACGAAGTAACATTAGACGCTCAAAACTCAAAATAGAGTGTTACATATGTATTATTATCGAAGCAAACAGTAGTGAAATAAGTTCAACCGAGGAGTATCTACCATGCTTGGCAATGGGCTAGGAGCCGCGCACGTCACGGGTGCGCTTCGTTGCGCGCGTTCGTCGAAACTAGGTCACGTCGCAGCCGTCGCGTGCGGAAGGTCAGCGCGCGATACTTGACGGACGTCGCAGCTGTCAGTGGGGCATACGATTTGCGCTTGGTCCACGGCGGTCAGCTCAAAGAGAAGATAATACGGGCAAATGCAAATCATTCGCTTCACTGACTTTTGGTGGTACTGTAATGTCATCTCGAGACTTCAGTGGGGTGCGCCGCGCGCGAATTGGGGGGTGACCTACTTTCCACGGACGCGCGCAACGGACGTTCTCCCGCAAGTCACACGCGCCGGAGAGTCCTCTATATATTTAAATGCGATCCATGTTTGGAGCATGTGCGACAGCGGGTGGTGTCTCGGGCGAAATGTCTGGATTGAGCTTCGGAACAGCCCAGACGCCGGAAAAACATGGGCGAAGGTGGGGGATAGGTCAATAAGTGAACTGGAGGAGACTCACAGGTAGTGGGCGGAGCGTTCTCGCAGTGGGCGGCACTTACCACATGAGTTCACAACTCGATTCAACGGAAGCATGGACGTCAGAGAAACAATAAACAAGGTGATCGAGGCTTTCTGCATGCTGGGTATACGTAAACATGTCGGAGCTCCGCCAGCAATGGGTGGGGTGTGCATTCAAGTGTTAGGCTCTTTTTGAAAAAAATCATAACTCTGTCAAGAAGTGTTCCATAACGTAGAAAATAAGCAATAAAAAGCCATAGTAGAGATGGGGCCAAATCTCTGGAGTGTGCGAGGCTTGCACCAATGTGGGCGGGTTCAGGTCAAAATTCAGAACTTTGTTCAAAAAAGTTCTAAAACACGCAGAAAAAGTGGTTGGAGTTGATGGACGGAAGGAAAGGCATGCAAGCAAGCAGGGCTCCGGTACGTCGTGTTCCACAGTTACACGAGATTAGTACCACTGGAGTACGAGATGCCCCTATATCTTACATTCAACGTTCGTTTGAGGTAGTCTTGAAACCCGTCAAGATAGAAGCAGTAGTGTAATCAGCCTTCTGCTTTCAGCGTATTCAGACTCAACGGTCAGTGAAGTATGCGTTTTCACTTTTTCAAATATAACTTCTTTAAAACAGCATCTTTACATCTGGTTTTTTCATTGTGAATGCCTATTACTGAATGTGATCAAAGAGCGAGTTTTCAGCAGCCTAAGTTAATTGTGGAATATTTTGAAGAACTTTTGTCAAGAAAAGGGTTAAACCCTATAATACTAGTGAAAATTCAGCCTGCCTTAATTTTCCCTTTTTCAGCGCGGCAACTTGCATAAAGGCAAATATAACAACTAAGACATCCATGCTTCGTAGCATAACCTTCAGAGTCAATGATGGCTTAAATCGGCTTGGCATAGACTAGACGAGCTTGTCGATTTCCTCCTGAGGGATGTTCCATATGATCTTAGGTTGAGGAGCTTGTCGTGCTTGTTGTGGGCTCAAAGGCTTTTAAATTGGCACTCGAGACAACTCTACATATGTTCAATAAAAATTAGACCTGGGGACTGCAACGGCCATGGTAACAGAGGAACGGAATCAGTGAATGCACTAGCTGAATGTATCTAGGTCGAAAAGTCAGCATGTTAAACATCTCAGCTCCGGAGCTGAGTAGAGTGGCGAGCATTCGAGAACATCAGGCGAGCAGGAGGAGAGTAGTGAAGAAGAGGAGAATATCCGGTTCGCGCCCACCTTTTGACACTGCGGTCCTTCCTGCTCAAAGGTATGTCTCAGAGACTTGGACTACGAAAGTAGGGTAAGCATACAGTCAGCGTCATTCAATATTTGTGGGGCATGCTCACAACTTTCCTATGCACGTAAGTGCAGAAGGGAATAAAGTTTCGAGCTGGTTAACGAATGAAGACCAGGGATCCCGTTGTTTGCACAATGTATCAAAGACCAGGTTAGCCAGATAGGTCATGTGATTTTGTGACGGCAGTTTGACAGCAGCGGTTACATAGTGAATTCCTCGGGACGCCGAACAAATAGCAGATCGGCAGCCAGCACAATGGTTGGAAAGCTATTAATGAAAGGAATGGTATGCCTTGTGTTGTTCGGGCCAGGAAAGTCCACTGAGCTACTTTGGCTTGCAAGAGAAGCGTATGAAACGGTACTGGTGCTCGCTCGAGGAAATCGATCATCGGAGCGACATGTGGTACAGGTGATGTGTATGCGTGAGGAGTGTATGTGTGTGCATAACTTTCGTCGTCAACTATCACTGATGACCCGTGGCAGGAAGTGAAAAATCATTGGTGGAATAGGTAAGTTAATTAGACGCTTCAGAATGCTGGAGTTATCGGTATTATTATGCGCCTAACATTCATAATGGACCCTTGGCACCCGTGTATGCTACGTGGTATGACGAGATCGCATATAGATGGTGACAGTAAGATTGATAAGGGGGAGGGGGGGGGNGGGGGGGGGGGGGGGGTTAGGGGTAAGGGGGCTCAAGGAGCGAAAGGTGACTGGATCCACTACGCTTTTCTGGTTTGAATCTTGGTCTTTGTAATCTTAGTAGGTGAATATCAGCATAAGTAATCTTTGGGTTGACAGTATGAGGATATGTTAGCATCTTCAAAATCGTAGTGGCGCATTCATCGGCGCGACGATCAGACATGCTGACAGCGCAAGTTAGGCGGGCAATTCGCAGTCATCATCTGGCTGAACTATGGGGAATTGTCAATACCCGATGATATTGATACTTACAGCAATACCGTTGGCAAATCTCAGCTAAAAATTTTCTAATAGGCCCGCCATGTTTTTCACTTCACCAAGTTCATGGTACCTTTCAAAAAAGAAATGGAATACAATGAAGGTAGTGAGTTGTCTATTCACGAGAAATTTCGAGAGTTACGTTGAATTGGCTGGTCATGAGGGTAATCGAAAAAATATTTATTAAATCGCCGAGTACAAAAACCACAGTTAATAAAGTCGTCGAGTACAAGAATCTACGGCGTTCGAGTGCACTATGAGGGTAAGTCGCTGAATGAGGGATAGTCGTCGTCACCATAAAGGGTTTAGATGTGGAGAAACGATGATTAAGGCTTATCGTTAAAGATTTATCGTCTGAGTTGTGCACTTCTTTAGTTCATTAGATAGTCATTGTATCGTCACGATCCTTCCTGCACAGCACCTGAAAAATGGGAGCGTCAGAAAAGCACACGAAGGAGCACATGCGGGAAACGTCACTATGTATGTACATATGTGTATGTGTGTAGGTGAAGGCGTTTGTGTGACTTTGCTTATGTCGGTGCGTGTGTTTGTCCGGAACTTCATAAATTCTCTCCTACTAGAGCGATAATAGTCAATCCCGTCCACGCAGTTGACGCACCGGTTAACGCATTCTAAAGGGATGTCGAATACATCCTCGCATTGGCCAGCACCTAATGCTACAAACGATTGCAAGGCAAAGCACAGATCACACCGATGGCTCCAGTTTCCAGTCATTACTAGGCAACTCCGCTCAATCTCTCAGCATTTGTGAGTAGGCGTCGATTGCATGGGTCTAAACGACGCCTAGTTTTTTGCATGAGCATCGACATTGCAATCTCACCGAAAAGCGCTAACTTAAACTCCATTCTCGATGCCCCGGTTTTTCTCATACATGAAGAATAGGCTGTATAAATTCTAGCGCTCGCTCTATAAGCCGTGAGGATAAACAATGCTAGGGAAAACGAATCATAAGGAGCTATGTAGGAAGAAAGAATGCTTCCACATTAGTCTTCCTAGCACCTGATTATTGTTGTTCGCTAATATTATTTCTTTACCAATCACGTGTTCCATAGTATAGATAGTAGGATAGATAGATAGATAGATAGATAGATAGATAGATGG